TATTTAAGTTTTACTTTTAAAAAAGATTGCAGTACTGTGTTTTTTAAATGCTTAGTGGTGTGGTGTACTACTTCTTTGCATGCTTGTACTCACTGGTTACTTCCTGATGCACTTTACACGACAGATTTAATGATGTGAATGGTTTGAGAACATCAAATGCTCTGGTTGATTTAAATCTGGCACTTTTTTGAACACTGCTGTGATTATTTCTGCCAACAGGCTTTCTGTGGGAAGGTGGCACTGTGATTGGTGGCACCTGTGACACGAAAATAATCTTGCATGGAAAAGTCAATAGTTGCACAGTTTTTCTGTTAAGTACTTGCCTTGATTGAAAAAAATTGAACAAGACTACAACACCTTCTAATATTTTTGAACCATATTGGAGGTTCTATGAATAAGTGATTCCTACAAATTCATAACAGGATGAGATTTTACTTACTAATCACAATGTTCTAGAAAAGTTAAGCACAAATTTATCATTTGTTTATTTATCTGACTGAACGAAATCAAGGTAGCTTCTGCACAAACAGGTTTAAAAATATTTGGCATGGCTTGACCTTAACCTCTGTGTGTCTTTGTGTGTGCACAAATATATAGAGTAGGATACAGCAAAAGCAGATGTCTTCCAAGGACAGCTTAAAAAGCATTTGGGTCCATTTTTGCTTTTAATTTTACATAGCACAGATAGAGGCTGTTCCATGGAGCATGTGCAGTAGCTTCCATGAATAGAACATAGCTGAGAAAAAGTGTGGATGGTTCTGAGGAGGCCATAAGCTGGATGAACCCTGCAGTCTGGCCAGCTGCTGGTTTGACCCAGCTGCAGCATTTGATCAATTTTTGGAATTGCATTTGGTCACAAGGCTGCTGACCTGGCAGAGATGCTGAGCTTTGTCGTATCTCTGATAGAAATGTGCTTCTCTGCTTTTTAGTAGCTGGGTGTGGATTGTACAGTCATGTTACAATCTCACAGAAATGTCTGAACTACTGGGTTTGCCTGTGGACATAGCTGTAATTGATTCACTAATGGAGGAAAAAGATTTTTCCGGAGGTTGGTGATGGAAAATGGAAAAGGCTAACTAGTAAGGAATGAAGAAATAGCTGTAAAATCCAATATTTGGTGTGAGTCCATCTCAAGAAATCCAAATAGGATTTCCTCTTAGAAAAACCAAAACCAACTATAAATAAGATGCAGGCAAATCAGTTTTAACATTCATATTGTTTTCAAGTGCTAAATTCCAAGTTGTGACAAGAGGTTTCTTGGAACATTTTCTGCTTACTTCCCTTTATTTTTAAACATCCCTGTTCATTTGAGTAGAATGGTGTACTAACTTTGTATACCAGATTAGATAATGCTGTAATGTATTAGATGTCTTTAATACATTTCAATTAAAACAAAACTTACTGACTTATTTTCCCCTCTCTAAATCATCTTTACCTGATTGATTTATAGCACAAAGTGATTTTTAATATCCCTTCCCTTCTTTAGCCTTCCATATTACAACCCGTCCCAGCCGTATTCATCGGCCTAATCCTGGCTTTCCTGTATTGGTGTTACGGCCCATTGTGGTAGCGAAAGGTACAAGCACTACTGTTCAGTCAATGTATGTTTGTCCCTCTCACCTGTTTGTGCCATTTCTGTATCAAATAGTGCATGGTGAAATGCTCACAGGTATTTCTTTACCTGAAGCAAACCCTTCATTTAATATGCCATTCTGTTGACACTGACAAGCTGAGCAATCCACTAATCATTTAACATCTCTGTGGTTTCTTTAATTCTAACAATTAGTTTTGTTCTAACTGGTGCTTGAACGTGCCTCTTTAACTCGGTCTCAGTTTGTCTTTAGCAAATGGGCTGCTTTTTGCACCATGCTGCGATGCTAGGGCTTGTAAGAAAACTTAATTACTTCATTAACTGAAAAATGAAGAGTTTGCCTCTAATAATAAAACTCAACAAGCTTTGGTTCCTATCTATGGACTAAGAAATTCCTCTCTGGCTCTAAACACTTTAATTTTTCTCACTATTGCTGATGGAAAGATGGAAAAAAAAGACAAGAAATAGGTGGTTGGTTTGTATTCTGAACTCTCAGCTTGCATTTTCTCTTGTCTCTCAGTGTGTCCTCCTCTTAAAATGCCATTGTTGTCATGCAATGTTGTGACAGTCTGTTAAAAATGGTGTTCTTAGGATCTGCTACAAACTAAGTCACAGATCTGGATTTAAATGGTCAAAAGTTAAAGATGTGCATAAACCTCTGTCTAGCCTTGACTTGGCTTGAGTGATGTTTTAAACATCTCAAGCCTTGGCATGTTCAGTGGCAGATTTCTCTGAGGTGTGTGCAGTAACAGACCTGGAAATACGGAGCTGCCCAAAGTCCTGCAGACGATCCTCAGTCACCAAGAGCTGTGGAGCTGCCTGTGCTAGAGGAACGAGCTTTCTGTGGTGCTCCAAGCCAGGACTAGCCTGCAACAGGGCTCGTGGGTAACTTTGTAGTGATGCCTATCAACAGGTACTCAGGACTTGCAGGAACCACGAGGTAAACTGATTAGCATGAATTAGAGCAAATATGATATTGATTTCTTTTTTCTCTCCACACAGAGACAATGGCCTTGGATGCCTGTGATGGCAGCTTTGGTTGCTGTAACAGCCGTGGTGCTGTACCCAGGCCTAACCAGAGCTTCTCCATGAGAACTGTTGTTGAATCCATACACCGTCCTCCCTTTAGAAGCTGGCAACATTCATATACTGAGGGAAAACAGATTAATTCTCTTCCTTTTTACCTCTTAATACAGCACAGCTCTGCGTGAGAACAGCAGTAGGGTCATTTGCTTTAAATTGTATAAAATGTATCTGTCTATAAAGAGGGAATAAAATTGTGATTCATCATACTGTGAGCAATATTTTTGCTTACAACTTCATGCAAGTTTTAAATTAGTGTGTTGGGATTCTGGATACTATAATGGTGGCCTAAAGCAGGCTTCTTGGTACCAAATTATTTATAATGGCTAGGGTTGTGGACACTGACTTTAGAATCTGATTGCTAGACTTTAAGAGGAAAATACTGATTTGGACATCCAAACCAAGTAACCTTGCAGATACTTGGGAAACAGATGCAGTGTGCTCAGTGCCTTTCAGTATGATCTATTTTTTTTTTAAACTAGTGTATCATTTTACTTGCTGTTAGTCACTGAGCTGTTGGGAACAAGACTTAAGAAAACTTCTCTTACCACGCCTTTGGAAGGAAGCATATTTATCTTTCATAAGGATTGCTTTATTAATGGGTTTTGGGAATAAACACAATTCATGTCCAGCCTTAATGAGATAGAGATACTGATGGTGAAGACCAGCCTAAAGTATTTAGTGTGCGCGTGTGCGAGTGTAAGCATGTGTGTGTTCTTGAGTGAACTAAGGTGTTTCTGGGAGCAAGTACCTGGTCATTTGATGGACATAGTGCATTGATTAAACTTACATTAACTTTAGTTTGAATGTAATTTATTAAATTTCATATATTTAAAGAGATACGTTCTTTAAAAGTATGAATACCTTCTCACATATCACATGTATCAGTTTATTTTTTCAGTCATTTGATACTTTCTGACTTGAGCTGGAGAAGCTCTTTAGAATAAGCTTTTGTGGACGTAACTTTAGTAAGAGAACTGCTACAGTACGTCTGTGATCAGCTGAGAAAAATCCAGATACATAAAATACTACGAAATTGGAATCATACCTGATGAAGTATTGTCAGGTGAAGATGATTTTAATTTGGTAGTAAAATTTTGTGGCTCCTTATCACATGGCTGTAAGTATGATGCAGTGGTCCCCATTACAAAGTTTATTTTCCTTAATTAAGTACTATAACTATTGCTATTTGCTGACTTTTGGTGGGAATCACTGTAGTTAGTACTGAATTAAATGTAGACAGTAGTTGTCTTGTTCAGCTCAACAGTTCTGTCAAAAAAGTTTATTGAAGACTTAATATGTTAAATAATGGTAAAGTAAAATGGCTCTGCTGCAGGAAACTTCAAGAGGGAGGTAATCTCAGCAATTCAATTGGCTTTAAAGAATGTTATGGCAATCGACAGATAGTTTAAATATTTAAATAGAAATTTAGTATATAATTTACTTCGTGAGGTTTTAAGGGTCATTGTCCTTTAATTAAAGGTTCTATCTCAAGTTACATGGGATTTGCTAATGGGAGGATTATTAGTTGGAGAAAATAGTCCACAAGTGACTTGTAGAAAGTAACTATTGTCATTTAGTTCATTCATTTCATCGTTTTCATCCTTTTCAGTTGCAGGAAGCCACCCAACCACAGAACACTCGTATGCCAGTGGTACTTAGTACCTCTTGTATATAGGTTATTGCAAATATTGTTCTGAAATGCTTAACTTCAGAATTACATTTTTTAAGTAATTAATTGTTTTAAATCTATTTTGTAAAGATATAAAAATACAATAGAATTTCTGGAGTACAGATTAAACTATTTGCACTAACACACGTGATGTGCATGATTTAATAAAATAACTTTACTCTCCCTATGCATGTTTGAGTTGAATGTCATTTGAAAACAAGAGATTCATGCTAAGTTTCTTTTGCACTAGATATTGCCACAGTTACTAGGCACAATGTCTGCAGCATGTCCAGTAAGAACAGAAGACTTTTTTTACCTTTTATTTCGTATTTGTGTTGGTTTAAGTTTTGGTCTAGCTGATCCCTCTGTATGGTTTTCAGAAGGAAGTGGGGTAGGAGAGAGTCATGGAAGCGTATTGCCATGGAGGAGGAGAAGGTGTTCCAAGCTGCAGGGTGGATGGTGCCCATGGCAGGGGTGGTGAGCTGGAGGAGCAGTGCCTGCAGATCCTGGGCAACAGAGGAGAGCCCTGCTGGGGGAAGGGAACCTGATGCTGCCTCCTCGCCATCCAGCATCTCAAACTCCCTGTTTGTCCCTCTTTCAGCTCCTGTTTCCTTTGCAGTGGATTCCCTTCCCTCCTCCCTGCTGGTAGCCTGTGCAGGTGGTACCAGGAGATGGAGCCTGGTGGGGCTGGGGGTCCCTCCCTGCTGGCAGCAGGGAAGGTGCCAGGAACCCTGCACCACACCAGTTCTGCCTGGGGCTTAATTTTGCCCTTGTATTAAAGACAAATGTTCTGTTTTCAGAAATCTTTAGGGCATCAGAGAGCTGCAGTTTGAGGCCCAACATGGTTGTATTAAAGGAGAAATATTTCTGATTTCATTATGTGCATGTACGCATATTTATATGCACAGGTGCATAGTACGCATTGCATGGGGGTTTGTGCTTACAAGTATACCTGTGGTTCCCTAATACAGTGCCTTTTCCAGGGGTTCTTGACTTTTGCATGCTCAAAACGATGAGGAATGAGCTAAAATGCACAGTTGTGAGAATCCTTGGAGAAGGGGTGGGTAACTGGGAGGCTGCTGTTCTTCAGTGCTTTTATACTAAAACACCAAGTGGAGTTATTTTGTAAGGACTCCTTGCACAAATCTTTCTGGGTTTTATTGCTTTTTTTTTTTTTTTAATGGTAAATATGTGTGCTCTTTTACATTCATGTTTAGGTTCTTTCTCTTGTCAGGCTTGATCAGCTAAGCCTTGGAGTTACTATACCAAGCAGCTTTTCATATGTGTGAGATGCTCCACTTGCAAAACAAGTGCTCTGAGCTTGCACTGAAGTTTGAGGTTTGAAAAAGATTCCTCATAGTAGCAAAAATGGTCAGAGTAGTTTTGTCAATTGCTAGTTCAATTTGGAAGATTTAGTATAAACCTTAGAATATCTGAACACTTTTTCAGATTTGTCCTGATGTCTTGAGTGAGGCACCTTCTTTAAATTCCAAAAGAATTTACTTATGTGGGGACTACAATAGCAGGCCTTTTATTTTAAAACATAAATATGTGAAAAATACAGTTTGATTTTCCTGTTCCTTGTAGCTGAATTAAATGCGTTCTTCCAGAGTCTTTGCCTCATCCTTTTTGCAGAATGTCTGGATTTTTTGGTGCTAAATGGAGAGTTATGAGCCTGCACAATATATTGCAAAAGTTCTCATAAAACAGTGAGAATTAGTATCAGATGACTGATAGCTGAAGCAAAGGTAATCAATCACCTGTGCATGTATTTTTGGGGTATATCCCTAAGTTATTTTTCTAACCAAGTCTTCTGAAGTATGTTACTTGTTGCAGTTTTCTGTGTGCTTTATGTAAGATTTTGAATGTCTCCTGCCTTAATCCATAGGGTTCTGCCACTTGCAAGAATCATTTCTTCAGCTTGAATCTTTTTTCCATGACAAATCCACTGCCAAATTCATTCCACCAGCAGCATCTGAGTGCTTTAAAACACCAGGTCACCTCTATGGCTTTTGGGAAGCCACTGTCCTTTGCACTGGCTCTGCAAGTGGGGCTGGCCAGGTTTCACCAGGGGCCTTTTTCTCCCCTCTGGCTGTTCATCCATCATACATGTTTCATTAGCAACTGTCTCAAGATTTTGAGTCTCCATTAATAATAGCAACCGATCATATAACAGAATTAGAAGCCATATTCTTTCCTTCTCTCTTGCATATACCTCTGGGTCTGTTTGAAGGGATGATTGCTTCCTGCAAACAGCTGCATTGAATTCCCCACATGCAGCTGATTTGCTCATCCCAGTCCGTCTTTGCACATGCTTATGAATACAGAATTCCTCTTTCTTCTATGGTGGGGAATTGGGCTGCAGTATAGGGGATTCTTTTCTGGCTTTCCTGAGGTTTTTACTGTGTACCAAGTTACTGAAAGTGAGCAGAGGTTTGTCCAACAGAGCCAAGTTCTTCTGCTTGGAAGAGAGGGGCTGCAGCCATTCCTTCTTAAAAGCTGGATGCTACCAGTGTCTGACTCCCAGCAGTAGAAGGTAAATCAGCAATTGAAACGCAGGTTTTGATGGGAAGGGACATTACAGGCTCAAGTTCCCATTTGTAAAGGTAAGGGGACTTACCTGATCACTTATCTGGATATCAGTCATAAAACTTCTGTCTAATTTCAGCAACAGCAGAATGTCAAGAAATCCAGCATTTGTTAGGAAAAAAGAAATTCTTGCTTTAAGAACTTCAGATGAAATACCTGTCACCTCTGTAGGTAAGATACATGAGCAACTCTTGTTCCCTCAAAAAAACCCCAAACCAATCCCCAACCCTGTGTCCAAGTTCATCTTATTTTGGCTTCCAAAAATTGAACTCCAATACGTCTCTCTTGGAGATTGTTCTTCTGCTGCAAATGTTGTGATCCAGGGATTTGACATACCATGATCATACCTTCCAATCCTACTTTATATGAATGGATTGAATTTTAATTTTTTTTTCTTCATCCCTCTAGTTTTTGTTGTCAGCTTTTTAAACAATTTTTAATTTTCCTAATGTTCTCTTTTAAAGAGTAGATGCCAGAATAGAATTTGTCCTTACAGTTATTACATTACTAAGATCATATGAATAGGCAACAAGCTTTATATCCTGCTCTGATATTCTTGTTTGATTGTCTGTTTTGGGGGGATTCACTGACTTCTAGCTTCTAGATTTAACTTTGTCAATCAAATCACTGTACTCCTCACATCACCCCAGTATGAGGTGCACCCTGTGGTATCTGACTGCAATATTGTTTGATAAAAACCACTGTAGGCAGCAGGCCCAAGCAGCAGCCTGGTCCCATGACTGTTCAGCACAGCACCAAAGGGGTTTTATCCCTTCAGGTTTTATAGGGATGACTCCTGAAGCTTTATTCTAGGCTATTGATCACATACTTTTGAACAGTAGTGAGAGAAAAACTGATCCCTAAAGCACAATAGGGAAAATATTCATGGAATAATTCCTTCGCTTAGTTTTTACAAACTGACAGCTGTTCTGTAACCTGCATTATTAGTTAACAGTGATAGCTGAGTAGCCATCACTTTTTTTGGAATGTCATGATTTAGGGAAGTCTTGGTTTAATAACACTAATACAACCCATTTTTAGAAAGGAGAATTTTATTTTCTAAATGCTTTGACAGGTACTAATTATTCTACATTCTTGAATTTTTTTGCTGACTGCTTCCCACAGATTGTTCTATGATTTGCTTACATCTTAGAGTGAAGCAAAGCCAGTCCTTTCTGAGGATCAGACATTTTACTCTCTTCCCTCAGCCCTATCACGCTGTTTGCACATTACTGCCACTTCCCTCTCCAAGCATTTCAAATTGGAGGTTGTTCACTTGACTGAGTTTCTCAGTGAGATCATTCCCAGAGCTGGTTGTGTCTCAGCTCTGAGGCACCGAGGGATGTGGATGTGTGTCCGTGCCGTTCTGGGATTGCGCTTGCATGTGGTGGACCAGGACGTGGTCGCTGGTGTTTAGCAGCCGTGAGAGAGAGTGGGGGTGTAATTGAGATTCTTGGGGAAGCGGTTCTCAGCTGTGGGAATGGAGATGTTGGCAGGGAGAGGTAATTCCTGTGTTGTCAGGTGTGATATTGAAAATGCTGATGTGCTGCCAAAGTGTGTCATCCCTTCATCGTTCTGATGAACACATCCAAAGCCTGGGTTAAACTAAAAGCAATGTTTTATTACCTGATCATATTAGTCAGTAAATTGAGACAAAGGACTGAAGTAATCAATTCATTCTGTTCTACTGGAATAAAATGTAACCAAAAGCTTACCTGTATTTATTTCAGTACCCATTGTTGGGACATGGATTTTTTTATTTTTTTTTTAATTTTTTTTTTTTTTTAAAAACACCCTACACACACTATGGTAAAGTATTGCCTTCAGTATGGAATGAATTTGCTATTTTAATCTTTTCATGCTAGATCATTTATGAAGTTTATATTCTATTTATATTTCTTGTAAGGAGTTCTTGCTCTGGAAAATAATTTTATTGGGTATGTCATCAGTTTTGATGTGACAAAACTACTTCTTGTCTTGAATACAGTGGCTCTTACTTTAAAAATGTTCCAAATATGCAATATGTCTTTTGGGATGAATAAATGGTAAAAATTATGAGAATAAATTTACATCACAACAGAAAGCTGATTTGTATTGTACATAGTCTTTCCTTCAGCCTAACTGCAAATTTCAGCACTCCACAACTTCTGAACCTGCTACACTCTTTACTACAATAGAAGACAAGTTACTAATTAATGAATTGATTAAACTGATTTCAAAACTGGAATCCATTTACCTGCTTACTTGTGCGAATGGAATTGGCAGCCACATGACCTTCCCTCCTCTGTGTGACGTGGTAAAGCTGGGCTCCAACAGGTCTGAACCCAGGGAGAGAAGGGCTGGAGCATGGGGTAGGAATGCAGGCTTGGTGTGTGTAATGGGTTTAGTGGTGAGACATCCTCAGGGCATCAGTCACTGACTGTCCTTTAAGACAACCAACAGTCCTACAGTCCTTTATCTCCACTGTAAATCAGAGAGAATTCTGGAGTTCTGTTTCAGTGCTGACTCAAGAGAAGGACATTCAATGAGTCATTCACATAGTTTTCAGCGAGTTTGAGGAAGGAAAATCTCCTCCCTGTTTGGAGACTGTGTGGTTTGGACCCACCCCAGGGTGCAGCTTAAGTATACAAGATTTCACTCCAGCAGTAAGTCCTGGTGTAAGACCCAGGTAACTTGTCTCTTCTATTTTTCAATTTAAAAAGTGAAAGTCAGAGTTAGCATTAAAACATTCTTCCAGATGCAGTAGATGGTTGTGGGGGGAATCTAAAAAAGTGATAAATAGATCTGCTGCTCTTCGTGGGACATTGCTGATAGCACTTAGTGTGTTACAAATTTGTCTTGAACTCCTGTCTCCCAACACCAGTACAGAGTGCTCTTCTTAAACCCTAAATGAGTTTATTTCAGAGTAATGCTGCAGCTAAAGGTGGTGATAAAGTTTGCTCATTTTTAAAGGTTCAGTGTCAATATTCCAGGCTCAGTAAGTGTGATATTCGAGGCATTTGGTGTTTCTGTTCTAAGTGTAGCAACCACAGCTGGCTGGCAGTTTTTCTGTTGCAGAACCTGACAGGAATCCAACTGTAGCTGAACATTGTAAGAGACATTTATTGCTCTTTTTTATCCCCACTTCATAATTATTGCAGTGGCACGTAAGCGATGAC